ATCATTTTACACTTTTTCTAGCTACAAAAACTGTTGCAGAACAAGTTATGTGTGTACTACTATGAAGCTGTAGTTTACAGCAATGGAGCATATATACCGGTTAAGCAAAGGGAAAACACTCACCATCTTAGTCTATTTGTGAGTAAGAGTCTCCTTTTTTATTGCAAAACAAACTTTCTCTCTTCAGTTAACTTTTCCATTATGAGAAATGGAGGCCTTGTCAATATTTTCATGTATGTTTACTAGAGGGACATAGCAGTTTTCTGAAAAGTTTGTAAATGTGTGACTATAATTACACTCACAGTTTACATGTATTATCATGCCATCCTTCTTGTTGTTATATTCTTCAGGTGGTATCGTTTGCCGGATACATTTGGTAGCTCATACTATAAGGATACTTTGTCCTAGTGGGTGTGGAAGTTAAATTAGTTTTGAGGCTTCTATATGCTTTATTTATTGTAACAACTCAAGATCTTTGAATATACTCAACCTGGACATAGTAAGGAAGTAAGCAATGCACACATCAATAATTTCCTTTGTTATAGATTTTTTACTTGCAAAATTATCGTTGTTGTTCATTGATGATTAAAATCTATTACTGGAAGTATTTGTAAACTTTAGACTTTGTAATAACTTCTTATACATGAATATGAGAAAGTCATGCACAATACATTGTTTCTGAACTTTTTGGGTGAATTTCTTTACAATTATGAGAGGAACTTTAAGTTGTATAATAAATTATGTATGTACCTATCATTCAATGTATTTGTCCCTTGCTCTTGCAGTTAGCCAAATTAATTACATGAAAAGTAAAGCAAGTAATTCTATTTTAACGTAGAAGAATACCTCTCAAGCTATACAGATTTGGTGAGTCTTGCAAGACACTATATAATTGTTTATTGTTTTGCATGTTGTATAGTTTTGATTCTTTCAATGCTCTTTTTAAGTTTAAGTTATAGACATTTATTAGATGCATGTATGCTTCCTATTATGCCAAGCTTGTAAAGTACCTGTCCTGTAAAAATTTTTTTGCACACACACTTATCTATGAGTTCTGTCTTTAATGTTAGGATAAATGATAGTTAGAAAAATAATAAACTACTATTTCTGTTGTTTTATGTAGTTTTATTCACTCAATATCTAGAAATTTGCTAACTAAAGTGAATAGTTGCATCAAATTAAATAATGATAATAATATTCTATACTTGTACATTATTCGTCCATATTGTCTATTTTTTATGACTGCTCTGCTCTCATTTTTTGTTTTTTCAAATCTTTTTTGCTCTTTTATCTGGATATGTCTGATGATAGTGCATGATTCCATTAAACTGTGAAAAATCTTAATTTGAAAACAATGTTCTTACATTAGGCTGGAGATTTGTAAGAATGAAATGGGATATATTGAGATGTCATTTTAAGTCAA